TGAGCTCAAGTTTAAGCTGATTTTATGGTGAAATGGCTGAGAACAAAACGCTGAGAAATTTAGATTTTCATATAATCTGTTGCTAGGCATAAAAGCGTTTTGATGAAGCGATTCGCAGAAACAAAACTTAATTTCTTTTTTTACTCACTGTATTAAATTGTATTATGTTTAAAGTTTTTATTCACTAATCAAAGCTTTTAAGTGAACTATTTGAATAGTGGTAGACAAAACAAAAACAATAACAAAATCGAGGCGCCATTTCCCATCGATGGAGCTCCTTTAGATGTAGTTGCGATGGGTGTAGGTGTAGGTGTAGGTGTAGTTGCGATGGGTAGAACTTGTTGAAATCTAGAATTTTATATCTATAAACAATCGTTGCGTATTTCTGAAGAGCACACTTTCTGAAAGCGTCAGTTTTTGCGCATAGCAAGATAATTTGAAAGCTTCCTTTTATAATCCTAGCTTCATAAGCTTATGTTGGCTTCATTGGCTTAATCAATTAAACCCAACGAACAAGAAATCAAATTTTCCTGTTGGTTAGTGAATTCAAGTCTTGACGGTATTAAAGGGAGGGTATTAATCGCAGCTGGATAATCATAAAAAATTTTTTAAGGCAACCACCTATTTTTATATCTTAACATTGCTAATTTTATTATAAAAAGAATAAAAATCATCCGACTAGAGTGATTTGATGGGTTTACAAATTTTTGGAGACGTTGCAAGACTCGAGTTCATCTACGTAAGTGCTACGAGTTCAAGGTAAGTGCGAAAGTAAAGCAAAAGTCAGCAAAAGTCAGTCATGTTTTCTTTTTTCCAAATTTCGACTATGTGATCTCCCAAATGAGTTAAAATCTCAAAAAATATATTTTTTCAATTTCTTTTGCTTCTACCAGTCAATTTAAGTTAGAATATGAATATTTAATGGCTAAAAATGGTTTTGACTTTGTTTGGGACTTTTCTATTTTCCTTCAGATCTCGACTTCCAATTGTCAGATCAACTCGGGGTTGGTTTCAAAAAAGATTCTTATGAAATTTGGTTATAGAAAACCACTTACTTGGTTATAGAAAACCATAATTTACTTAGTACACTCTAGTGTACATAGAGAAAATTTGGGCCAAAGTTGAACTAAACATCCGAAAAAGTCGACTCACTTAGATGGTGTATAATTCGAGGTATGGAAGCTGAATCAACTCATGGTTGTTTTTATTAGAATCTTCATTAAATTTGGTTATAGAAAAGTAAAATTTGCTTTGTAGACTTACCGATAAAAACATAGAGAAAATGAGTGTCAAAGTTGACCTTCTAGATAGGAGTCTCGGACTTTGAGAAAATTTGTTTTTGACTTCTAGTTTTGACTTTGAAAAGTGCTCCAAATTCCGTGGTGAGTCTCAGAGTTTGGGGACTTTTCTATTTTACCCTATAACTCGACTTCCAATTGTTTTGACTTCTAGTTTTGACTTCTAGTTTTGACTTTGAAAAGTGCCCCAATAGTCGATAGCTTGGGCTTCATATACAGGGTGCGGCAAAAGTTCGGAGCCGCTATGAAAACATTGCAGAAAATTTAGCTCACGCTTTTTTTTTGTGTCTCGTATACTTTTTTCCCCTTTTTCGAGTATAATTAAGGTGATTTGTTACAAAAATTTTCTTTTTAGGAGAAAATTCGTAAGAATGAACGCCAAAAAACGACGCGATGTGATTCTCGGATTATACCAAGGCGGAAAAAATAGCCCGGAGCTTGTAAAAATCATCCAAAAAGCACCGTCAACAAAGCAATTAAACGCTACAAGGAGATAAAGAACAACAAGGATCGCCCTCGAAGTGGTCGACCACCAACTGCCGTAACACCTACGAACATCAACGAAATTCGCTTTCGGATTCGTCAAAACAAGCTGCGGTCGATGCGAAAGATGGGCAAACAGCTGAAAATTAGCCCTCGAAGCGTCGAAAGGATTGTTAAAGGGAAACTAAGATTCTTTAGCTACAAATTGGCTAAAGCACACGTCTTGAGCGACAAATCCCAGAAGAAACGAAAGCGTCTAGCAAAGAAGATGGTGCCCTCGGTGGCAACTGGCCTACTTGAGAGGATCCTCTTCACAGATGAAAAGATTTTTTCTATCCAGTCATTGCACAGCCGCCAAAATCATAGATAACTTCTCAAAAGGGTTCTGAAGAACACATTTGCGGCAAATTTGATGGTTAGAAAGCATTTTTCAGCTTCGATTATGGTGTGTGGAGGTATGTGTGCTACAAGTAAGACACCGCCTGTTTTTTTGGACAGAAACGTCAAGATGAATGCTAAAAACTGCCAACAACTGGTATTAAAAGATGTCTTGAAACAGTGGGCAACAAATCACTTTGGACAAGCTGGTTTTTCCCCGCAACAGGACTGGGCTCCGGCGCATGGTGCTCACTCAACTCTCAACGTTTGCGCTCAGTTGTTTCCAGGCTTTTGGGATAAGACCATTTGGCCTTCAAATTCGCCAGATCTTAATCCCCTCGATTACACCGTTTGGGCTATTTTGGAAGGCAAGATCTCGATGAAGACATATCAAACAGTGGATGCTTTAAAATCTGCTCTGAAACGAGTCTGGGATGAAATAACTGTTTAAGCGTGCGCCACCATCGTGAGGAACTTCCCAAAGCGCTTAAAGAGGTGTACCGAAGCGGATGGTGGAAATTTCGAGCATTTGTTATAAGTTATTTGTTGTTATGATTCGAATAAAGAGTTTGTTATTAATTTTTAACTTTTTAAAGCTAGTTTTTAAACCTTTAACTATCTTAAGAAGCGGCTCCGAACTTTTGCCGCACCCTGTAGTGAAATACACTATACAAGCGTTTTGAAGCCCCGAAACTCGGCTTAAAACGTCTTTTCCCAAGCTCTCGCTGTGTTTTTCGGAATCTACACGTAAAATTACCCCAGAAAAAGTGGATTTAAAGAAAAAAAGTGCCTCCCTCCCCTAACCTTAGTAGCGCCGAGATTTTTTTAAAGAACTCACAAGTACATTTCTCGTCTTTCCTTCTTTCCTAAAACCCATAAACTATATTTTAGTCAGTTTACCGAATTAGCAAAGGCGAAGCACAATTCGATTGACAAGCGGGCCATTGATAGCTGATCGTCAGATTTGCAGTGGGCAGCTCCAATTGACACACATTGCTCGAGTTCGTGTAACTAAAAGCCGTGTCTACGCAATGGGAAAGATTTCAATAAACCTTAGTGTTGTCATATTTTGCGAGGCAGCATCAATGTAGGCGATCGAGAGGCGACCTTGAGCGGGGATTTGATTGTAGAATCCGATTTGAACCACTTGACTGATCGACGCGGTTTTCTAGAGTTGAATTTGAATGATTGACTCAATTTTACAAAGAACTCACGGTTGCGATAGAAAAGTTATAAGAAGAATTGGTGCTTCCATCAATAAACGAAGGCATCATCAGCATTTCGGGTTTTTCATCGAAGTATGATTTGGTGTTGAATTGAGCTAAAGCTCTTGTAAGTTGACTGAATGGACAATGGTAAATTGTCCATTCAGTCAGCTTACAATTCGCTGATTAAGCTCGCCTTGTACAGCTGTACAATGGTAAATTGGGGGTAGGCTAATTTCCGCCATTTTATTTGCGCAACTGATCGTTTGCGCAACTTGCCATAACTTTCTTCTAAGTGAGCGAATCTTTATGCTTTTGGTGTCATTTTGTTGCACTTATTCAGATCTACAAAATGACACCCAAATGATAAAGATTGGCCTACTTAGAAGAAAGTTATGTCGAGTTGCGCAAACGATCCAGTTGCGCCTTGTTCAGCGCCTCGCCTTGTTCTCGCTCGCTCGCCTTGTTCAGCTTACAGCAATACCTACTTTTTTGAGTGCAGCGGAAATTCATCGATTGATTTGAGGGGTTTCCGGTCAGTTGAATCGTCATGTAATCGTCGAAAACTTGCAATGGGAGTGTGCTCATTGGAGGGTTGCTCGAACAGGTTGAGTTTCCACTAAATGTAGATCATTCCTCACATTCAACTCTCAACATACCCGTAGATCAAATCGGGAGCAAAAAGGGAGATTCCTCGATAGACGTTTCCTTGGATATTTACACTTAGGTCAATCTCAAAACCCCACAATCCGGGGGTCGCCTCGGAAAGGTTGATTTCTCCTCGATAAACGACAATTACGGGATTTGGCACACCGGGAAGAGACAGCGGCACACTCATCGACCCTCCCGAATAGCAAAGGCCGGCTTTTGGTGGATAAACGGTTGTTGTCGTGAAGTCTGAAAAGGAATAGGAAATAACTCATAGATGGTACCGTAAATCCTCTATTAGTAGTGCGGGTTAAGAGAAGTGTTGCTTATGAGCAAGCAAGGCTAAGAGCTTGATGAATATTTTAAGATTTAACTGGTTTTACCGCAGAAATCTTAAGCTGTTTAACAACACGCAACGTTACTCTGAACCCGCATTACTATGGGTTGGGAAATGGCGACGTCTTCGGGCGAAATTTTGTAAAAAACTAAACCATAACTTTTTCTCAAATTCTTTTCTAATAATAATTGAAGTTTTTGTTGTTTATATGCCAAAATTTCATTCTGAGCTGATGCAGAGTTTTTGAGAGGAAATGAGGAAATGAGAGAGGTTGTGTTTTTAAAAAAAAAGTCGATTTTTGACTACCACTTAACGTGACGATGCTTGTAACTTGTAACAGACTAGCATCTAGTTAAAATGGCTATTTTATCAGCTATTTTATCAGCTATCTTATCAGCTATTCTATCAGCTATTTTATCAATCAATCAAGTTCGATAGTAAAAATTAAAGATTGAAAAAAAAACATGTCTGAATCCCGGGAACAGTATCATCAAAAAGTGACAAGTTCTTATTCGAAAATTCTAATTTTATGTTTATTTTGGTTAACCAGTTTGTACAAACATATTGGATGAAACGATTTTTGAATCAAAGCAAGTTGTTGCTAATTTTTAGCGGTCTAGATTTTGAGGAAACATTAGACAAAAATTGACT